ATAGCATTTTGTCCCCCTTCGTCTGGTACCAGAAGCACCTGTTCCGGAGATTAATGTAATAAGCTGCATTACATATATATAGCATTTTGTCCCCCTTCGTCTGGTACCAGAAGCACCTGTTCCGGAGATTAATGTAATAAGCTGCATTACATATATATAGCATTTTGTCCCCCTTCGTCTGGTACCAGAAGCACCTGTTCCGGAGATTAATGTAATAAGCTGCATTACATATATATAGCATTTTGTCCCCCTTCGTCTGGTACCAGAAGCACCTGTTCCGGAGATGAATGTAATAAGCTGACTTACATATATATAGCATTTTGTCCCCCTTCGCCTGGTTCCAGAAGCACCTGTTCCGGAGATTAATGTAATAAGGCCATCCTTAAACAATTCTATGTTTGCTGTCCCCCGACCCATGATTTTTTTAGTGGGTAGGTAGGTAGGTCTTCTTTTTTTGTGAGGCATAATAGTTATTTTAAGTCTGTCCTCATGTTTGCCACATGCTTTGTGTTTCAGTCTTAACTATGAGGAATGTAAAAAAAAAAAAAAAGGTACCCAAAATTTTTTGGGTCGCGGCTATTTTCGTGGGTCGGTCGGAGGACAGCAAACATGATTTTTTAAGGATGGCCCAAGCCGCGTTACAAATGACATTTTTTCCCATCGCGCGCTTCCAGAAGCACATTTTCCCGAGATAAATGTAAGAAGCTTGCTGCGCTACATATGAAATTTTGTCCCTCTCGCGCCTCTGTGCAGAATCACCTTTTCCTTGAGATAGACATGAGTATACCGCGGCGGCGGCGCGATCGGGGATGCTGCATCATCGTCCAGTTTCTCCTTTCCCTAGCCGCGCGTGACGTAGCGTGCTGATCATGTCAGCGCCGTTCCGGAACTTCTACTCTGGCTTCAACGACGTTCTTCTGTTCTGCGCCCCCGGGCGCATAATGAAATACCTCTTGGTTGTGTGCATTGTGTGTGTGTGCGTGTGTGCGTGCGTGCGTGCGTGCGTGCGTGCGTGCGTGCGTGATCTGTGTCTGACCATAGTCTGATCAGCGACGAGAGACGTTAAAAACCTTCCCCTCGCTGTAACGTATCATCCCCCCCATCTTATCTTCTTCTTCTGTCGCAGAGGACTCGTATCGAAAGCAGGTCGTCATCGACGGAGAAACATGTCTGCTCGACATTCTTGACACCGCAGGACAAGAAGAGTACAGGTGAGAGAGAGTGAGAAGGAAGGGCGCCCCCCTCCCCACGCCGGTCCTCCTCCTACGAGATGAGATCCTCTGAGATCGCGTTTGTCGTTGCAGCTCCTCCCCTTGGCCCTCCTCTCTCGTGTTGTTCGTCCACCCCTTCTCCTCCCGTCTAGGATCGGAATGGTTTGCTGTTACAACACCTCCCCTTCCCCCCTGTCCTTTTCGTGTGCCCCTTCTGTTCCCGTCCGGGAGCGGAATGGCTTCGTATTACATGAAATACGAAGTACATGAAACACATACTCGAAAAAATGTAATTGAATATATATGTATGTATATACATACATGTATGTATATATATATATATACATGTATGTATGTATATACATATATATATTCAATTCAATTTTTTCGAGTATGTATTTCATGTACTTCGTATTTCATGTACTAATACGTATTATATATATATATATATATATATATATATATATATATATATATATATAAAATAGTTTGATTGCAATATATTTGATATATATATTCACTTGAAAAAAGGCCCCTCGTTCAACCATTCGTTCGTATTTATTACGTCTCCATCTCCGTCGGCATTGTCGTTTCCGTCCCTTCACGAACTCGATACTGAATCATCGTTGTTGTTTTTTCTCGTTCTCCGTCGCAGCGCCATGAGGGATCAGTACATGAGAACGGGAGAGGGCTTTCTACTAGTCTTCGCCGTCAACAACGCGAAATCCTTCGAAGACATTAGCCTATATAGAGAACAGGTAACGACAGCACACGCACGCGTGCACGCTGCTTCCCGTCAGAATCGATCTGAGATCGAAAGAAATCTAATCTAAGAGAACTAACTCGCTAATTTCGACTAATTGAGTTACGAGGCAATTAACTCGGGCGACGGTTGCGCGACGGCATTTCTTTCGTCTGGACGCGGTTTTTTTCGAAGGAGCTAACGAGCGCGGCTTCGTTTGTTGCAGATAAAACGAGTCAAGGATGCTGACGAGGTACCGATGGTCTGTAAGTACATCTCCGCGAGATCTCCGTTAGTTCGTTCGTTTCGCGAGGCCAAACGTTGTTATCCGCGCTCGCCCCAGGGGGGCTGCGTGGTACATCGCATGGTAAACGGGGATGCATGGGGGGGGGGGGACAATGGATGGGTGTCTTGTTGCAGCAGCAGAGGCAATGTTTCTGAGTAAAATCAATGCTTGGGAAGTTGATCTAGCGGGGACTGGCTGTGCCGTCCGTTTGTACATTTCTCCTTATTCCTTCTTTGTTCTTGTTCTTCTCCTACTCTTCCTCTTCCCCCTCCCTCCTACTCCTAATCCTTCTTTTTCTCCCTATCTTTCTCCACCGTCCTCTTCATCTTCATCTCCTCCTCCCCTTTTCTTCTTCCTCCCCTTCCCTTCCACCCCCACGACTCCCAAGCGACCTCTGTGTACAGGTTTGCACCCCCCATTACCGAGCGACCTCTGTGTACAGGTTTGCACCCCCCATTACCGAGCGACCTCTGTGTACAGGTTTGCACCCCCCATTCCTGAGCGAGCGACGCTCTGTGTACAGGTATGGCACCCCATTACTGAGCGGGCGCTCTGTGTAAGGTAATGGCCACGGCCCCCATTACGCCGGCGGACCTTGTGTAGCAGGTATGCACCCATTCCTAGAGCGAACGCTCTGATGTACAAGGTATCGGCACCCCCATTACGCGAGGCGACGGCGTTGGTGTAGCAGGTATGCACGCGCCGGGCCCCCGATTACTGAGCGACCGTCTGGTGTACAGGTATGCACGGCGGCCGGGCGCCGTCCCCCCCCATTACCGAGCAGGAGCCCTCTTGTGTACAGGTTTGGCACGCCCCATTACGAGGCGCCTCTGTGTACAGGTACTCCGAGCACCCCCCGCATTCCTCCGAGGGACGCTCTGTGTACCAGGTGTTGCACGCGGCCCCCATTACCGAGGCGACCCTCGTGTGGAGAAAAAATAGGTATGGCACCCGCGCCATTCCGAGCGACCAGTCTGTTACAGGTTTGCACGCCCGCCATTACCGAGCGAACATCTGTGGTAAGGTTTGCGCTGTGGCGGGAAACCGTGCTCGGCGTGCGCAGGTGTTGGCGGATGTTTTGTAGGGCGTAAGTGTGTGGTCGGCCAGTGAGAAACCCCCCCGCACCCGCAACGCGGCGCACACCCCCCGAGAGACGCGCACCGTGCGCCACCTCCGCCACGCAGCCCCGCACGCCCCCCCGCCCACCCCCCGCGCACCCACCACGCCACCCGACACGTAATGCCTGTGTTATAATACCGTTTGTTGGTCGATAATTACGGCGCAGAGATGCGTTAAGCTGTGCAGCATTTTCAAACCGCTCTACGGCGGCGCATTAGGCTGGCGTTGTGTGCATCCCCCTCCTCCACTCCTCGCTGCCTGGCTCCTCCTGTCTCCCGGTGCTGGCTGCTGCCTCGCTGCTGCTGCTGGCTGCTGCTGGGCTGGCTCCTCTTCCTCCTGCTGCTGCTGCCTCCTTCCTCTCCTCCTCGCTGCTGGGCTGCTGCCTCCTCCTCGTCCTGCCTCCTGCTGCTGCTCGGCTCCTCCTGCTCGCTGCTGCCTCCTCCTGCTGCCCTCCCTCGCTCCTCACTCCTCCTCTGCTGCCTCCTCCTCCTGCCTGCCTCCTCCTCCTCCTCCTCCTCCTGCTCCTCCTCCTCCTCCTCTGCCTTCCTGCTGCTGCCCCTCCTCCTCCTCACTCCTCTCGACTCCCTGCCTCCTCCTCTTGCCCTCCGCTGGGCGTCTCCTCCTCCTCCTCGCTCCTCCTCCTGCTGCCTCCTGCCTGCTGCCTCCTCCCTCCTCCTC